TTCAATATGAATATTTTTTTAAAACAATACGTGCAATTCTTACTTCATTTGGTAATCAGACCACTTAAAACATTAAGTAAAATGTTCGATTACAACTATAAAATGTTGTCGAAATTCTTCTCATAAGTTTATCCACTTGAATATCAAAAATAGATAAAGATATTTTACTAATAAAGAAGAATTGTAGACTATCAATCAAACATAAGAAATTATTTCACTTCGGAAAAAAACACAGGCTATGAAATTTTAAAATTATATATTAGATGAATTGCGTATGAAATAGAACAGTAGTGAGTTAATTTGACATATGGTCGATTCGATAATATAATGATCATTTCAAGTCTTCGAAAATATGAGTGAACATAAGAGTTAAAGCCATAGCCACATCTACTCATGCCTACACCCTTATTTAAATGAGCATAGTTATACAATTTTTAGTGATGTTGTATCTCAAGATGAAAATATGATAAATAAAGATTTATTATGAAATTTTTTTGAAAATATTCCTGGATGCTATATTTCACGTAATGATCCATAAATTTGGTCAAAATTTTAGTAAACATACAAAAACAACTAGATTGTTTCTTTTTCGATGGTGATTTTACTTTTTTTTCTAGGTCACGTTCTTCATCTTATGGTATTGTAAATAGTTATGGTATTGGTCAATAGGATTTTATGTGGAATATTCGTTCACATTGAAATATAAAATGAATTTATTCTCAAATATAGAGTACAAATCAACTATTAGTTTCATCTGATGGTTGTGGTATTTTTCGTGATTGGTGTTATGATATTAAATAGAAAATTAAACGTGGATGATATTATTTTAATTAAAACTCAATTATGAAACTTAATCGATGTTGTATATAAGGATTTGTTTCATTAACGAATTAAAATAAAACAACGAGCGGTTTAATTTTATTCCATATTTACATTTATGTTTTGCACAATTAAAGCATCTTGTTTATCGACCAAAAGATATTGTTATGATATCACTTGATCATCCAATTTTAGATCGTTGTCAAGATATTTGAAAACCTGTTCAATCTTGCGCGGTAATTTATATTCTATGGAATAGTCGTCCTCTATCTTGGAGTTCACCGGCATTTTCAATTGAAGAACGATATGAATATGAACCAGTAGATTTCATACGAATTATTGCTTGTGTTGGTATGAGCCGAACAAAATTTGTACATGGTTATACATTTGATAAATTTCGAAAAGAACGTAAATAATTAGTAGAGAATAATCGTACATTAACACATCGGAGTATAGATTTAATGCAAACACGTAAATTTCAAAATAAATTGTATTGTTTTTTTTTGTCTTAGGTACTTAGATTGATTTGTCTAAAATATCATTAAAAAACTTTGATGCATATCAACATGCAGTTATTCTTACGTTAGTACTGATTTCGATGATGGATGAATAAATCGATTTTTTATGATTTATTTCAAGAGGTCGAAAATAAGAGTGTCGTTTTTTTTTTAAGATTGAATAATTCCTTTTTATCATTCGATTAATAAAATGAATCCAGTCAGTAACTGTTTTAAATTGATTTAATAAATTATGTCTTTCTCAATCATTGATAAAGAATTCTTTTTTACTTTTTAAAGCGAATTGAGTTTCTAAAATATTCACAGAAAGATATGGATGTCGTTATTCCGTTCTATCACACTCACACCTCTCGACCGCACTCACATCTAGAGGAAACTATCAATCTTGGATAATAAATCATTCAATCATGTTTTTGAAAATTCTTGAATGTTATTTGGCATGTTTATCAAAGTGATTACACAATCGACTAGATTTTCTTTTTGAGTAGAACTACTACGTAAGAAAAGTTAGCAGCAGATTCGAAAATTTACTGCTGACACTTACTTCTCGACTTTGGATAGTTCATAAGTCGGCTGTGTTAAATACATAGCCTGATTTTCTATGGATTGATAATATTTTCGCGGACGGTCGTCGAGCGAAAAAGTGATCGCATACGGTGTAGCTGTATCGTGAGTGTCAAGGGCACACTTTCACGAAGCATCATTTTTACATCCATACCCACACCTTCCAAATACTACTAACTGATATAATGAACACTGTCCAACAATCGGCGATTTTGTTGCTCGATGCTGAATGAGTATGAATATAATTTATGTGCTCAGCTATGTTATCAGATATCTTAAATCAATGAAAACGAGAAAGTGGTACTCTCTGTAGTCGATATGACCACAGTTTCAAATAAAATGTCGGAGTACCCGCAATCTATCATTAAAATGAGCCCGGTAGATAGGTAGCTGAGTAACTGAGGGTTCTCTCTCAATTATATTCGCAATCCAAGTTTATTATAGTTTCCCCCTCAAATACTCTGCAAACAGTGGTTCACCATATAAAGTTAAAAATAGTGCTTGTGCCAAGAGTGCATGCAAGAGTATGGACGGACGGATGAATAGATATCTAGTGTCCTCACATCGTCAAATGCTCGTTTTTTTTTATTCGTCTTTCAACTTCGCTTTTGCAACGCAACCAGATGAAAGAATAAATTATCCATCACATATGGACTAATTTCGCTTTTGAATCATTTAGTTTGTTTGATAAATTTAACAACCATCTTTTCTACAACTAAATCAACGTCTTATTCGCCTGCAATACGGATACTGTCGGCGAATATCATATGATGTTGCAATTACCTGAAAAAAATACGTAGAGTTTTTATGACACATACGGGGAAAAAATCAACAATAATCTTCTGCTATTTATTTTTTTTTTTCGTTCTTTTCTATTTCATCATTGCTATTGCCGCTTATAACTTTTTCAACGCAGTATGTTTTACATGTGTCTTTGTTGTTCTGTTCTGTACTTCGATGTGAGAGACAGTTCTTTTTCTTCTTTAGTGGCCTTGCAGTCTCTTGTGCGTGTAAACGCATGAATTTATTGAAAAATTGTTACATTTTTCGATTTCAGCGGAACTTTTTTACATATTCAAAACATTTCGCCTATTTTTATTATTCAGAATCATCTATTATTCATCGTTCATCAAACCTTCGTATCGTTTAACTGCGCTTTATTGCTACTTGTTACGATGGACACTAATCAATCGACAACAACTGCAAGGTAGGCGAACCACTCCACATAATCTTTTAAACAAAATATTTTTCTTTCATCGACTGAAAACCCAGAGAATCATTAAAAATATTCAATTGTTGTATTTTTCATTAAAATGCAAATTAGAATTCCAAGTCATCATAACTAGAACTTCTTTTTTTTTTTAATATTTCCGTTTTTTGTTCATATCAATGGACAGTATTTGTTGTCGTAGATAATCTAATTAGTTATATGGACCATAAAAGGTGTTTACTTTTGGAAAAAAAGACAAGACTGTTTTGAGAATAATCATCATAAAGGAAAATAATATAACATAAAAAGAATAGGATTTTAAGCAAAATCATATCAAGTTTCATTCACGACGACTTAATCAACATGTTCGATAGTATTAGCAAATGTAAATCTGCTATCAGTATGATTTGTTTGTTTATTCGATGAGAATCAACTGCGTATATTTCAAAGCTTGATAAGGGAACATATTCACTGAAAAAACAGAGTCGATTCATCATTATGGTACAAGATTTGATTTGTGGATCGAAATGAAAAATTTGGATGATACTAGGAATTGAGATCAATATTGAGGCAGCAATCCGATATGAAAGATTTTTTGCTCTTGAACAAATGAAAGGCTTAACCTAATTCTCTCTTATTTCGAATTCACAATTCTATCATGTAGTTAGGATTGAAGGAAGAATAGTCACCAAATATCGTAGTTTATCTACTGTGCAATAAGTTCTAAACAAAAAGCTGTCTTCTATGCTAATTAAATAAATTACATTATCGACGACATAAATCCAATTAATCAGACATATACCCAAAAGTTTTGGCCGTAGGATAGTTTCTTTTCTTTTTTTTTTGTCGAAGAATGGAAAGATTCACATCTTATGATCCACTGTTTTTTATGTGTCCTTGCAATTAATAGAGCGTCCTCTACAACAAGTAAAAGCTTAAAAGAGTTCGTGCACATGGGTTGCTGAAACCAGGTTATGAACGTTTTACTGAATTTTCCACCTAGAATTTCACCCAGGAATAGGTATAATGACCCTTGAAATATCATGAAATTTCCAGCCCAAAAGAATGTTCATGTATCGGAATATTGAGTTTCCAATTAAACTCGATCTTTTTGTGACATGTTGATGTTCAGAGACTGGTTGTTGAAGATTCTCTTTCTCGATATTAAAGTTCCGTTGTTCAATTTTTCAGTGAATACTTCAAGAAGAGTCAAAAATTCAGGCAAACAGTCATAACTTGGCTCCTGAATCTCATGAGCAAGAAAGGTTCTAAGCTTTTATAGTCTTATCCAGACTTTCTTGTACTCTCAATATGAGCTAAAACGGCGAGTATCGTATCGGGTCATTTCCTTGTAAGATAAAGGTTGTCAATAGACTACATCATACTTTTGCAACAGCATCCTCTTCCTAAAACATGCTTCGATAATACTTGAATAGCACGATTTTCATATGACAAATAAATCTAATTTGATTGATCGAATAGTTCGAATAGTTATACTTCATTCCCATTTACAACAAACCGGAATGCTATTACAGACGATTATGACATATCAACAAACGCATTAGGTATTGGCATAAGTGGTAAAGTGTTTAAATGTACACATAGTCGAACTCAACAAAAATGTGCTCTTAAAGTATACATTTGATGTATTCTAATAAATATATCAAATGACTTTTTCTTTGAAATTTCAATAGATTCTGAGAGATTCAGTCAGAGCTCGACAAGAAGTTATTCTGCATAAAAAGGCATGCGAAAATTGTCAATACATTGTGCAAATACTAGACATCTATGTAAGAATATTTTTCTCTTCTATTACTCTACTATTAATTCAATCTTTGGACTTATTACAGGAAAATACGTTCCGATCACACCGATGTATATTGATTGTAATGGAATGGTGTAGTTGATTTTTCTTCGATCTGTAAATTACATCTATCTATGCTTTTTAATGCATTTTTATCCTAGTATGGAAGGTGGTGAATTATTCAATCGTATTCAACAACGAAATGATAATCCATATACCGAACGTGATGCTGCTAGATATATATGGATGATTGTTCAAGCTGTTCATCATTTACATACAATGGATATAGTAAGATTTTCTCGTATAACTTACTATTTCTATATGTTTCATCGTCATTTTGACGATTTCTAGGCTCATCGTATGTAGTTTTACAATGAAAAAAAAACTGATGAAATATTAAATTTATGATCATAGGTGATTTAAAACCAGAAAATCTACTCCTGACAAATAATAGCAATGATGCCATTCTCAAACTTGGTGATTTCGGATTTGCTAAAGAAGGTAATATAGTATATATTGAAGAAAAGAAATACATGAAATTTTGTTTATTATTTCTTTTTTAAGGAAACAATGAACCATTGCCATTGAATACTCCACTGTATATAGAAATGAATTCACAATATCGAATTATTTCATTAGATTTTCTTATTTAGATTCACACCGTATTATGTGGCACCAGAGATTCTGTCTCACACCAGATACGATAAAGTAAAGAGATAATAATGATTTATTTCAATAATCTATTAAAAAAAAATCAAGTTTGAAAATAAGGCTTCTAGTTCATGGAATTTAAGCACAATTCGATTTTTGTTCTTATTTAAGGCATTAAAAGAATTTTTTTCATTTACTTTATTTCTTGTACAACAGGCGTGTGATATTTGGTCGATGGGTGTTATTATGTATATCCTTCTATGTGGTTATCCTCCTTTTTTTTCGGAAGGTGGACATACAACCAGTTCTGGTATGGAGAGTAAAATCAAAGCTGGTGATTATCAATTTCCGGATGCTGAATGGCGAAATTTCTCACCAGAAGCTAAATCAACTATTCAACGAATGCTTACAGTGGATCCAGCTCAGCGTATTACAATTAATGAAATTCTCACATGTTCATGGCTTACTGAATTGACATCCAACAGACCAATCAATATGATTGTACTTCAAGATGCAGAAACTCGACAACAATTAGAAGTGAGTCAAAAAATTGAATTTCTATATCATACTTATTTCAATTTATTTGTATTTACATAATTTTTACAGGCTGCAGGTGAGTGATTGTGTTGATGTATGTACGATGGAAAAATAGTTCATTAATGATTTTTGATTAAAGTTGCTTCTGCTACGGATGACCAACGTCGAACTGATGATGATTTAGGCATTGAAATATCTGGACCAGAAGCATCACGTATCGCCAAACGAGCAGCCAAACGAAACCGACACATGGCTATTGCCGATGAGGGACATCATTGAATGAGAAGTGGGTTAGGATCGTCTATATTGTAAATGTTGCCTTTTTTTACTTTTATTCAAGGAAATATTTACTTTCATGCTGTAGATATTCTCAATAGCATGGAATACATCATTAAATTATATTTTGAAAATTTTTCATCACTGTTTGACATGTATAGTAAGCATGTTTACACAATAAGTTGAATTTCCTGTTTGAGTAGGACTACTACGTCCAGAAAGTTAGCAGTGACTTCGAATATTTTCTGCTAATATTCACTGCTGAACTTGGAATAGGTCAGTAGCTGATAGTGAATAATGTCGAGTTGGATTTTCTATCGATTCCCATGTCATAAAAATCGCGATTAATTAGCGGTTTTTCAGCAGATTTCATCAATAAGTATTAATATTTAAAATAAATGGGTATGGGGTATGGGTGTGGGCATGGGTGCGGGTGTGGATTCGGGTGGATGTGGGTGTGTGCGGAATCGGTGTGGGTGTAGATGAAGATATGATCAACACCCCAACACACACCCACACCCACACCCCAATTTTCTTTGTGCTTCGATTTTTTTTCCTATTCTTTATTGAGCAGTGTTTGAACACAGACGAGCTCTGTTTGTGGTCATTCGTGATGTGGCCAGATTTTCTTAAGTATTGAGTATTTTTCAGCTGATTTATTTTTGAGAGTGACAATTCCATAACGTATTGAGGTGTATTTTCTTGACTTTTTCCTCAGCCATATTTTATAATAAGACACGTTCTTATTATTATCTTTTCAATGCCATTAGCCATACATGCAGTGCTAAGAAGTCGTTTGATGAAAGTGGATTTTACTGATAACACAAAGAGATTTCTGTTTTTGCAGCAGAATTCTCTGTTCCATAAATATGATCTATTTTGTGAATTTTAGATTAAAACAAACAATGATACTGCTATTTCTCTTTCAAGAATTGAATATGCAGTCAAACATATTTCGCAAGATAATTTTTTGTTCAGCTGCAAGTGTCCATTTAAAGCCTTAAAAATGAAGTTCGTGAAATGAATTTATGAGAGAAATTCATTTGTTGATAGAGACTCTGTCGAGGAAGGAAAAGTTGATTGCAATCAAAGCAATCACCGGCAATCTTGGCTAGTAGAATATCAGATTTTCCTCCTTGACATTATAGGTTATCAAAAACATGATTGTCATCCTCTTTACTGATGACAATGAAAAGTGTATTCAGAAACAACCTGAATTCTTTATCTGATGATGAACGCACAAAGAACAATCAATAGCAATCATTGACAATCAGATAATCAGTATGTTTCCCTTTGTGTTCTGTACAAACAAAGTTGAAAGTGCAGCTAAAGAGTAAGGGTTTGGATGTGAGTGTGAGTTATTCTCCTTTAATCATCCACGTCTTGTCGGTGGTGACTGTTCGGTAGACCAGTTTACACTAATAATTATAAGCATAATACATGTTGACCATGAAGTGTTGGTATGGATGTGGATATTCTCTATAGCCATAAGCAAGGCCCATATTCTTATGCACATTCTATTCGAAATGAACTTCCTTGCATGAGAATATGTTTTTCATTGTTCTGTTATCTTGAATGTTTTAATTTTGATAAGTGTAATTTCTCTTCACAAAGCCCACAATTGAAAGATGTTAAAATAAAACAAACGACAGAAAAAGAAGATAGATAAAAAAAAGTAAAAAGATTGCTTTCTGCCAAAAATAATAAACGAATCATTCAACTCACTCTCAATTAACATCTACACGCATACCTTTCAACAGTATTTATCATTTCGGATTTATACAGATTTATTAGAAAAATCTTTTCAGAAACTAAAAATTTGAACTTAGCTCTACACTATTAGAGAACCTAAAGAGAAATCTCTAATCAAAATGCACTTTTTCCTGGAAACGAACTTTCTCACTTGTTTTACATGATCGTGAAAAGGTCAAACATTGTTTCTATTTCAAAATAAAAGGCAAAGCAACAAGAAAAATAAATAACAGACACAACAGATATACAAAGAGGTTAATATAAAAAAATCATATTGGATTTCTTCGTATGAAAATACTGGCAAAGAGTTCGTCTGTCTCGATATAAAAATTCAAAAACTATTTTCCTCTTATGCAACCATGATCATATAATGCCTGATCTGTTATACCTCATCATACTAATTGAATCTTGCGATCAGCAGTTCATATGAGTAAAAGTTCTGGACCAATGACTACTTGAATTGAACTGAGGTCATTTGAAAAAAGAAACATAAATTAAATTTGAATAAATATTAGAACATAAAGAAAATTGTTTATGAATCTTCTCAAAAGACTCATTGTTTAATACGTTACGATCGGGAGAAGTTACTTGATATTTTAAACAAAAAACTTTACAGAAATATTCTTTAAGCATCAACATCAATCTGAATTCTATCATATATATCGAATATAAGTATGTCAATAAGTCTTTTATTATAAGCCTTTTTATTGATAGAAACTTCTCATAAAAGTGACGAGGAGAATATCATTTCATAGGGAGACGTTTGCAATTTTCTTTAAATATCATTTAGATCAAATTTTTCTTCTACTTTTCAAAGATTCACTTATACTTCTTAACATATGGTTCTTACGAAAATTCTTTTACACATATAGAACGTTAACACATCTTTATCAAAATTTTTTCATTGAAAGTCTAATGAGAAAAGAAATATATGGTTGATTAATTAATTGATTTATTATTATTGAGATTTCTTTTACAAAATTAAATATTTGATTTCTAAAAAGGCAGAGACACTTTTCAGTCAACGAAATTAACATACTTCGAGTATAACAAAATGTTTTCTTATTATTGTCAACAGATAACAAACTAATTGAAATTATAAGATTTAAATAAATAAAGATACCTCATATTCAGATCAATTTTATTAACTAATAATCTTAGTAATTTCCTTTTATACATTATTTTATTATTTCTTTAGTTCAATTATGCATTGTAACAAGTTCTCTTCAAATGAAATGTCTTGCTTGTACATTTTCTCACATATTATTTACTCACGTTTGTTCACTTTTTTTGGAAAGAAAAACAAAATAAATATCGCAATAAAAGTGTCCCTTCTACAAATACTCGATAACCTTATCAGTTCATTGCATAATGAAATCGGCAAAAAAATCAATTTATTTTGTTGGAAAAATACCACTTGAACAATGTCTATATTGATGAGAGAATTGAATAGTTTTTTTATAACTATATTAAGCAATGAAGATCCTTCAATTTGTTCTTTTGTCATATCAGTTACGGAAATCAAGACAATTCTAATAAAAAATATTCTAGTCTAGCTATGTATATACCTATTTAATTAATACTTTTTCTAATTGTCTTTCTAAAATTATGAAAAACGGATATATGTCCGAAAATGCATCTATTATTTTCAAAAACATTAAAACTTAACGAGAAAAATACGCAAATAAGTTGTTGAGTATGTTGTCTTTTTTATGAAACTTCATAAGATCCTCATTCAATCGAAACGAACAATATACCAACAATAATTTGACAAAAGATTTGAATAAACTAAATACTACGAAAACAAAAGGAAGTTCTTTTATCTGTTGAACAATTTTTGTAAGAGAGAAAAAAATAATATGAAATACACGAATACACCTACAATGGTCTATTACTATCATGAAATCATTAGATTGACAAGTTTATTTTTTACTTAGATTTGTTGTTATCGTCTATGAAGTTGCAAACTATAAAAACACAGAATATACTTCATTTAATTCTAAGCATATGATGTAATTTCATAGACAGTGATTTTTTCAGTAATTACAAACAATTATCTATTTCATTGATCACTACTCGTGAATATTTAAACAAACTGAATAGATTTGATCAATAAAAGCATTTAGTTTTTGGAATTTTCAATGAACAAAACAATTCTGTTCTTTCTTATATTTTCTCAATTTTCATGATTCAGTTGATATGTTCAATTAATCGATTTCACTTGTGCCGTGTGACAAGCGATGCATGTGCCTCAACATTCGTTTTGTTTTTTATATATCTACAATCACGAAATGATTAAATCTAATATTGAAAATAATTTTGAGAGTTTTATATTCATCACTCTTTCTCTGAATTTGTGAATGCAATTGAATACATATATAAAAATCAGTAATACAGGTCACTGATAGTTTCTTTGTGATATTTACAGAACGTGCTTATCGAAAAGATTTATTTTACACAGTTATCCTTCATAATAAGTGAATGATAGTTACCCCTTTATTACATTTATTGTTTACTTATAATGGATACATATGACCAAGAAAATTTAATTTTATCTTATGGTAGATTTTAATGATTATACCCATGTCAATATCTCAACTATTCTTAAAATGAAGATTACATTTTCTACAAAGTTAATATGTTCAATGAATTATTCTTTGTAATCGAACGAGAAGTCTTCATTAAAATCAACTCGAGTTGATGAATTAACTTGCTTTCGATCCTTATATCAATGTGAACCATATGAAAGACTATTTTTCGATTCAATGATCAATTTTTGACTCGAAAACTTATCATTATTAAGTTTCATAGCAATTTCACACACTACGTGAAACTAAGAAATGTTTAAATCTTTTATAAAACAGAAAAGAAAGGTAATAACTGATAATTATTTTCTATAGGTATCATCTAATAAATTATAAAATTTTGTGATTACATTTTCTCTTTCTTTTGAAATTTAAAAAGAAAGACAAGATTAAGTTACTGATACAATTTTACGTTTCCTTTTATCTATCAAAAAAAAGTATGTAAGGCAGAGTGGAAAAAAAAACTACTAATTCTAAAAATTCATTTTTGAGACAAGAACATTTTATATTACGAAATCATTATATTTTGTATTTATCGATAAATAAATACTTGTTCGACTACCCTCACTTATAGAGAAACGTCAATTTTTTTTTGTTTTTCGTTTTGCTAGGATTTCATCAATCAATCAGTTTCGTTTTGTAAAAGATATTTTGAAAAATAAAATG